AATAGGAGTGATAATGGAAAATACAACCTGCCAGAAAGCGGCACAAGGAATAGGTGAGTTTACATGAACTATGACTACAGCCAGGAGTAAATTTGGTCAAATGCGAAACGTCCAAATATTTGAAGATTTGACACGCATAGCGTAAACACCCCGGTTTCTGGCCGGTTTCCGGTTGTTGGGCAGTGAGGTTTAAGGATAGGATAATTAGTTCCTCTGGCCGTTTTCAAGCAATCTGTCAACATCTTCCCATACGAGGACCTATTACTAGTGTTTCCCTGTGTGCGGACAGGATATGCACAAAATATGGGAGTGAGTCATATCAGTTTTTCATTCGGAAGGCGTGCGCACACAGCATGTTTCCTTTACGATTGCGCTAAGCAATCACACCATTTCAGCTTCATTTATTGCTAATCGCTCTTGCGGCGGATGAGGTCTCCCGTATTCTCAATTCCAAAACGAATAATCGACTAGACCTGACACTTAATTATTCATTAATTTGTTGAAGCTCTAATCATCGTGTGGCCAATATCTGGAAATGTCGAATGCTGCTTTACCTAGTTACTGGCCACCTGTCCAATAACTGGCTACAAAGGAGATTTTTCCGTCCCTTATTCTGGCCATACTTATATTACTGTGATAGAGAAGCACCCGCGTCCTTGAGACGTCCTTGAAAGGGATTCATGCCCCTCCACCTCCTCCCCCCCTCCTTCTTCCGCCCCCTTCCGCCCCCTCTCCGCTCACACTCCGCGCCGGCAGGCATTCCATTTTCAATTCGGGGTCATTACTTACCACTTCACTTGCACATCGTTTCATCCTACGACTCCGACTGACTTGGAATCCATCTGCTTGTAATTTGTGGATGTTTAGTTGTTGTCTCTGTTCTGTGAACTTTGTTAATAGGCATAATATGAAGACGCGGGAAAACATGTGGATAATAATTACTTTTCTGTTCGTAAATACTTCATTGATGTTTCTGTTCTGTGACCTATTTAAATAGGTATGTATTATGAATAAAAACATGGTAAAACACTATCTGTATGTGCACCCATTTTGCCCCATGGGTGGGGCAAAACGGGGTGTTTAATAACAACATTTAGAATTGTTCAGGGGGAAACCGTCGCAGATTTTGCGATGAAGTTGAATCCTATTCATAGTAAGACATGGAAGATACCGCATACCAATCCGCAATGTGCTACGCCAACTCATTGGTACTAAATTTTGGCAGTTTTCCTGAACTGCCCCGTTTTGCCCCACCTTCCCCTATATTGGAAACATATCCAACAAGGTGCTGAGGTTTCTCGAATATTGTTCTATGAGCATACATATATATATTTAAGTTGTTTGTCTTTTTGTGTTACCAGCGCATTGCATGATGTCGACATCGATTCGGGCCAGACCGGCGTGCAGCATTGGCTCACTCAATAGTTGCGAACTTTAGTCGAGATGGTCGCGCCGTAGCATATGCTGATGAAGTACTTAACAGGCAGTACTTAACTCTCAGCATTCTCCAGCAGGCGCCTTACACCATGGAGAAGGAGAAGGCGACCGTGCTGTCCAACATCGGAGGAATCGTTGGCCTTGGGATTTCTCTCCTCACCGTCTTCGACGTCATGAAGCAGAATTTCTCCAGCATCCGCAGCAAATGATTCCAACGAAGAAATGAGATCCGCGACATTGGCAAGCACTAATCCTTTGAAGTGAACATATTCTTCATGTTCATGGGAAACCTCCGCCACACAGTCAAATTTCTATGCTCCATGCAGTTGAGGATGCATTTTTGAGCATGTAAGAGATATCATGTAAGAGAATTTATCGACGTCGATCCTAGTCGCAAAAGTTGACTACAACCCTTTCATAACGAAGCGGTGCACGTCTTCCTGACAGGACTGATTCTCATCATCACTACAGCTTTCCTATTTGTATTACCGATTCTGATATTACCATGCACGTACGTATTTCGCCTGTGCAGAGCACGAGTCGTTTCATGCAATGATGGAGATTAGGCCGATATTAATAATCCAATGCTTTCCGAGTAAAGTCCCTCCCATCCGAATAAATATTTATCGACCACGAACTTGCCCCGATCTGAGTCTGAACAGGGGAAGAGGAAAAACACGCTGTCAATTACGGTAAATGCGCAACTCCTACAATGGTTGGAATCCTCGTAGCTTCTCAGGGACATCGTCTCACTCTTTTCTGTGGGTTTCAATGTTTTTTCCTTAATAGACCCAGGAGTGGGGAGCTTCTATGAAGATACGAAAGCAGCGGCCACAAGATCAGGCCTTGGTGGAATTCACTTTTGACTTTAAGTCATCAATACAGACACACACAAACACAGGCACACGCACACACACGTGACAGACAATTACATGCAATGAACTTTTCTTCTTTAGAAAGGGAACTCTCTAAGCAAAAAAGAAGATGCTATCGTGCTCCATCACAAAGGGTCCCCATTAACGAGTAACATCCATTGTTCTACATGATGGGGATGACATGAACCAATATCATGGTTTCCAGCAGGGACATTTTCCGGGACATTATCTCGCCAGTGTCAGTTCACTCCATCAAGATGGTACTCATATATGCGAGCTCATTCTAAGTTATATCAAATCAAGATTCGCTCTCGTGCAGCAGGGACTTGGTTTCCGAAATCCGGTTGAGAAAACAATGACATGCAGGTTATTTCATTGGAGTCGCCTCAGAACTAGCTGAGGAAGGACATGACATAACAATATTTCGAACCGATTCTGGCCGCTAGGCCGAGCAACGGTTGTTTATTTATTTGTGCATGCGACAGCTCTACAGGCTAACGCTTCGAGATATGAACACGGGGTTTCTTCAGAACTCTTCCTCATCATCCGAGGATGTGCCTTAGCAAAATGAAATTCTCAAATCGGCCTCAGGAAAGGGAGAGGAAGCAATTTGCGCCGAATATCGGAGATTCGCTCTCGTCCCGCCATATGTCGGAATAACGAGGAGACGAGAGTTGCCGCTATGATCGCAAGGAAACCGTGGCATCGCTCACCGTGATGTCTACCGCCTTCTATCGGATATCCTGGGATTTAAAGCGTACATGGTGAAATGGGGGTGATATCTTTTTCTTCTACTCCATCTGCATTCGCCTCCTTCGCTCCATTCATCGTTCGGGTGCCGAAGATAATCACGGTCGATGAGACCTGCAGGCTTTAGTCAAAGGAGTAGGTAGCCCGTGCAAAAGCACGGAAGTACAGGGTGTCCCAAAAGTCCTTGTGCAGTTTTAAATTTTAATAACTTAAGATGTATAAATGTTACAAACTTACAATAAACAACATTTGAAAGCCTAATTATTAAGGGTTTTTTATGCATTAGTCTTTTTAATTTCGGGCATATATATTTTTCTTATTTTCAGATGTATTACCCTATTGAAAATGGCAACAGTAGAAGAAAAAGTGAACTGTCTGCTATGGTTGGCGGAACTGAAGTCCATATCAGCAGTTAGAGGAAAATTAAATTCCTATTATGGGAAGGAGGCTCCGTACAGAAATTCCATAAGCAGTTGAATGAAAAAGTTCAATGAATCCGGCTCCCAGTCCATGACAAACCCAGATCCGGGAGGCGTCGAATCAGCGAGGAGACTGTGGCCGATGTTGAGAGAGCATTCCAACAGAATCCGGAAAAATCAGTGCGCCGCGCATCTGCTGAGCTAAACATTCCAAAAACAACAGTGCATAGAATTCTAAAAGTGAAACTCCAAAGACATGCTTACATGATTCAAATGCTTCAAATGTTACGAGAAGACTACCATTCAAGGTTGGATTTCTGTCAACAGATGAATTTAAAGATTGAAAGTTCCAGTAATATTCTTGACAAGTTGACCTTCTCTGATGAGGAAAATTTCCACGTTAGTGGCAAAGGTAACCGCCACATTTGCCGGATTTGGGGTACAGAAAAGCCTCAGGAAGTCTGGCATAATGAAAGACACTCCCCAAAGGTTAATGTTTGGTGTGCCCTCTGGGAGTCTTGCATTATCGGTCCTTCCTTTTTTGAAGAGTCGACAGTCAATGGTGAATCATACCATGCAATGTTGCAGAATTTCTTCATCCCTGAACTAGAGAGGTTAAATATTTTAAATAACACCATCTTCTAAATAAAACCAGCAAGCTGTGGCGCCCTGCCATTATGCTTTGCATGTGCGGCAGTTTCTGAATAACGCTTTCGTGTTATTCAGTCCACTCCAGTTATTCGATTCACTAACAGGTGGATCGGTAGAGGAGGGCCTCTTGCTTGGCCACATCGGTCACCAGATATAATGCCATTGGACTTTTTTGTGGGCTCACGTCAAAACAGTTACCTATTCCTCATAACCTCGTTCTTTGGATGAACTTAGGGTTAGGATTACAAATGCAATCCATGCAATCACTGAGCAGCATCTGAGGAATGTTATCACAGAGTTAAAAGATCGGCTTCAACAATGTATCATAGATAGTGGCGGTTATGTTGAAGTTTAAGAATAAAATCTGCGCTGTTTTAAAACCTCAATAATGAGGCTTTCAAATTTTGTTTATTGCAAGTTTGTAACATTTATACATCTAAATTTATTAAAATTCAGAAGGACTTTTGGGACGCCCTGTATAAAAGCTTAGGGCCACTCCATCTTTCAGAAATGACCTTTCCACGCAGGTTACTGATTGAATTAAAAGTGGAATGCGAACAAGTAATCACCAGGATTTAGTGAAAAGCATATGAATTATAGTCTTCATTATGACAAAGAATATATGTGCTTCCACAACGAGAATTGTTACAACAATTATGTGTAATCACATCAGGTGATCATTTTTTGCATTGCCGCATGCCTATCCCAGATATAATTTGTACGTAAAAGGAAAAAGAGAGCAACGAGGAAATCAATTTGTCCACGTTGCCTTATGTGCATGCAACCTGCTTATTTTTCGGAAACGTATTAGATACATCGAAAATATTTTCCAGATACAATACAATGTCATCTTTTTTATTAGAAGTAAGTCATGCCGTTGTATCTCTCCATGTAAAAAAGCTTTCGACTTTTGCACATCGCCCGTCCGGAATGAAATACAGATGTGGCTGAAGTAGGAACATAGGACCATAATAGTCTTTATCCGATCACCGTCTCGATCCACTCGACGTATCTGAGAAACAGACATGAAGACTCATGTTTCGACAAAGGTTGGTGAGATGAATCTGCACTTGTGAATCTATACAAAAAAGGATAGAAGGAAAAGCTAGGGCCTCACCGATAAACCCTGGTGAAAATCCCATATTCGCCACCCGCCCTCTTGGAGCATTCCTTTTTGCCGAGATGGTGACTCACGATTCCTTCGATGTGCCAGAGGTCCAAGGTTTTTGAGTAGAAGACCATCGGACTGCCTGAATCCCCGGGACACACCGTTTGGAATTCTGTGCATGAAATCCCAAGAGCTCCGTTAATATGGACATCACAAATCGAAAACCACTGTGGAAAAAAGTAATTTTTGTGATTTCAAGGACACCAGAATCGTCAACGTCGATGCCTAGCTCAAAAAAACTACATCTATGAGGACCGAAAATATCTGGTTGATCACTGATTGAGAAAATAATCCATTGTTCACTTACAACCTCCCTGAATGTGCGTATCACCAAACCCAATTGATGAGCATGATTATATAGTTATGAAGTGTGGGTGTAGATGAATATTTGAAATGATGTCTTGGCTGGGTGCTCCAATTGTCCACCAGCCCGAAATAATTCAGAATGTATGCTCATGTTAGCAGTAATATATATGGAGGATATAAGATATGGGTAGAGAAACTATTTTAAGTTCTCTTAAGAGAGCATAAATAATTTTAAATACGTATTACACAAATACGACAGAAGTCCTTCCTTGATCGGGCAAGAGTCACGAGGACATGAAACACGAACGGGAGATTGCTGAATGATTCAACGCGGATCACTTTCCTTAGAGGCACTTACCTGACTCTTGGCCATACCTGTCTCAGAGATATTCGTATTTTGCCCAGCACAGAATTGGTTGACGGTGAGAGTGCGGAAGGTGTCAGGCTTGTCAGGGAGATAAATGAGATCCCGACGACAAATATTATTTGCTACCACCGGGATCTGAATTTGCGTTAATTCTTCGCTGAGGACATCCAAACTGCTCAAACCCCAAGCTGCCACCTGCCGTGAAACCGCTCCGATGACGAGAAACCAACGCTTTGGGGAACGAGTGGAAATGAAACTATGTCTCACCGTTCCTATGTTTCCATCCTTGAGGTTGTTCTCTGTGATCTGAAGATTCTTCGGGATGCAGATCAACTGCACTCTGTCAGTTAACCGGACCGGCTCGGCCAGTTTCAGTAGGGCGATGTCAGAGTCGAAGTTATGAATGTTAAAGTCTTTGGATGAGACGATCGTAGACACCTGGAAACAAACTGTACCAATTTACATCATGTAAGGCTGGCAATATCGACACAAGAACGATATAACAATGATTCGCTGACCTGTGTATGCTGCACAAAGTCATCGTCCAATGAATCATTCCGATAATGTTTCCCCAAATAAACGCGGAAGTCATTCTGAGGCCGTGGCCGCGAGGAACTACCATATGCGATACAATGAGCTGCGGTGAGAACCCATTGTTTCCGAATGAGAGCCCCTCCGCAAACGATGAGTTTCTTATCGACATCGTAAATGGCAGCCTGCCATGGCCATTCTCCGAGACTCGACGGCTTGCCCCCGGCCGACAACCCCGTCACCAATCGCCTCTTCCCGCATTCTAGGTTGGGAGGAGGGCTGCATGCTGAGGTGCGGTGGATTTACGTTGGAGCAGTGGAGGATCGAGACTCACCAGGATCGCAGAAGGGGACGTGGCCAGTCCATTTTCCACTTTCTGTGCAGATTCGGACCCGCGATCCCCTGATGACATAATGATCGTCGCACTTGTATTCCACTGTGCTTCCGGGCACGTACTTCCCGTCTCTGATGCAATCTGTGCTGATTCCTGAGTCAACTTCTCCTCTTGCACTGCCGAAAGCAATTTCGTAATATTTATTTCGTACCAGGTCGATATCCCAAGCAATAAAAAAACACAAATCTGGCATGAATCTTGGCAATTCGTTTCCTCACCTCGTGACAACACCTGAGCAAGACTTTCGCACAAATCCGTTCAGAAATTCATGAGGTTCTTCGCATCCTCTCGGACCTACGACTGGAACAGATACAGATCTCAAGTGCTCTAATGCATTTTTTCCCATTTTTTTTCATTCAAGATCAGTGGGAAAACCTTGACACACATGGGCCGTGATGCAGTAGTTCTCGCATTCATTTAATGCTCCGATATTTTATTTCACTCTTATTTTCGCGAAAGAATTCCGTATGATCCGTATCTTCTATGATGCTTCACTAATTTTCCACTTTGAATCCGGAACCATTTTTTGCATTTAAACAATGTACAGGCTGCCTCAGAAGTTGTGAACGAAATCTAATTGCTATTTTTAGCCCCCCCCCCCCCCCACTCACGGATCGCAACGATCTTCTCAGAATTGAAAGCTGATTTTTGTCGGAAATGATTTTATGCATGAACGAACATGGTCGGTTGGAGATTAAGAGATCAGTTGGAGAAGGTTTATGAACATGTCTTTTCCACGAACATTTCGGTTCGAATAATGTATTTTTCGAGAACAACACAAATAAGAGTAACAGAACTCAAATAATCATGGCTCATAACTCTTAAGACTCATGACACTTAAATGTGATATTCACTGTTGAAGCATCCCTGGAGTCGATGACCGTGGAATAAGATTGTCTCACGTCTCAACTCGAAAGTGACCTGATTAAATACTTTGTGAATGCGTTCTAAGCTCATCCAATTTGGCGATCGACGGAAATTTCAAAATGAGTGCAGTTCAGAAAAATTGTCACCAGTCCTGCCATAGTGATTCGTGTGCAGAGAGCGAAATATATTAATTTAAAAAAAAAACCTCCAATATTCTGCTGAGTAGATTGTTTCGATTGCGCAGAGAAAATGCGATTTGCATTGGTTCAATACTTCTGACCCAAGCAGCATGTTCATGTTAATTTTACATAAAATCAGTGTAACTTTTTTTCCACTTTATATATACTTTACGCAAACCATCATCAAGATAATGTCAACATGTTTGCAGAAATGTCATCTCTGTAACACGTAAACGGTGATATAAAATTATAGTGAATTTTACGTAAATTTGACATTCCCGTTTATATCCCAACAGCAAGTTTACATTCATTGACGTAAAATTGATGCTATTTTACCCTTAAAATTTATGCGCATTTAACAAACCAATGCGTACTTTTGAAGGAAATTGATACACTGTATTTCTCACATTCCTTTCCATACTTTGGAACTCTAGGGTACTTGGACGAGTACACGAGTTCACAAGTACTCATCCTCACCAGAATTTAACAAACCAATGCGTACTTTTGAAGGAAATTGATACACTGTATTTCTCACATTCCTTTCCATACTTTGGAACTCTAGGGTACTTGGACGAGTACACGAGTTCACAAGTACTCATCCTCACCAGCACTCAAGCGTACCAAGATGACTCACTAGACTCCTCCCGTACCAGAACCTCGGGTAGAGGAATAAATATTTAGAGTAGCTTTATTCCATCAAGGATAGATATGGTATAGTGCTAGTAGAGCTGGGATTCTACTTTTCCTATTCCCGTGCACTGCTGTAATAACAAGCTTAGCTTCAGCATTCAATGATTCTCTGAGTCATATATTATTAAAATATGTAATAATTTCATGTTTTCCACATATATATCCATGGATTGCATAATAAAAAGTGGAAGAATGGTAAGAAAACCTGATACTATATCAGGAAAACCAGTACTTAATAGTATTTGTAGGATACAGGGAACAAGGGTCCCATCTAGTGAGGAATCTTGGTATTACAGCTGGATGGTCAGTAAAAGTTTCATATGGAAAGCGTGATGTTAACTTTGCATAAACTTGATATGTACTTCACGTCAGAAGGAGTGACGTCTAGTTTATGTAAAATACACGTAAACTTTGCTTACGTAAATATAGGAAAGTAAATTTTACGTAAAAATGATGTCATTTTTATGGCAATCGCAAGATATTTACATTGTTTGCAAAAAAAATTGATATCTTCTTTACGTAAAAATGAGGCTTGGGGAGACACCCCCTACATTTAATCTCCTTGAAATTATCCTAATCCTGTATTTTTTTGAAAGCCTATATCTTTCTTAACAACTGCTGTCAAACTTGACGGTTTGTGATCACTAGCTGTGGGGTTTTACGAATAAGATGTTGTACGCCGGAAAACCCCTAACATCCCTAACCTCATCAGTGCCATTTCCACCAAACTTAATGCCATGAACTTGGGAATGTGCCAGAAAGCAGTGAATGACGTTCCCCGGTGATGCCATAAGTGTCATGATCAGAATAGGAACCAATTTCAGTGGCATGAATGTTGAATCCCTGCATTTAATCTCTGCATTCCAGAAACTCCAGTTTGGACGGAGAGTAAGACTAAATAAATGGCGCTGATGAGGTCAAGGATGATAGGGGTTTTGTACCATACAACTTCTCTTTCAAAAACTCCCACAACAAGCAATCACAAACTGTCAGAATTAACAGCAGTTGTTAAGAAAGATCTTGGCATTCTAATGTAACAAAACTCATTTCCATCAGAGAAAAATTAAGGCATAACGATGTACAAAACTTGGGGCAGGTTTCTTGGACGCCTTGTATACCGGACTGAAATGAATCCGGCCTTCTAAAAAATGCAAGTGCAAGAGCAGGGGTCAACGATGACCTCTGATAGCAAGGTCAAAAAGAGGAGTTTAACGGACGATGAAATCGCTTCTGCTGTGGAATCTCGGGCCAACCGATTCACGCCGCGATCATAAAAATGCAAGTGCAAGAGCAGGGGTCAACGATGACCTCTGATAGCAAGGTCAAAAAGAGGAGTTTAACGGACGATGAAGTCGCTTCTGCTGTGGAATCTCGGGCCAACCGATTCACGCCGCGATCATACCTGTCGGTCGGGGCGTCGTCGTTGTGCTCGCGGAGACCGATGGGGAGTTCGGTTGGCAGCACAGCTCCTCGGTTCGGCAGCCCTCCCTCTTCGACAAGATGACTGTCTCCGGCTTGCACAGGGGATAGAAGCTGACATGGACGCACGAGTAGGGGCAGGGCTGAAGGCACTCTAACTCGTCCCATCTGAATTTCTGAAATTCGCTTCCGTTCTGACATTTTCCACCGATGCTCTTGAAGAGTCGGTTGTTCGCTAACCATTCAGCTTCGCAATCGCAGGGAATGGCATTCCCTGCTGATTTCCCTTCTTCGGAGGAAAATGCTGGACAAATCAATATTGGAAAGGCTGTATTGTTCAATTTCTCATTCATCATGTGACGCAAAATAAAGGGGTTCTGGGAGATCGTAAAGTGATGCTAGAAAAACCATGAAACTCACAATTTACGTTGAGGATTCCATTCCCGCGCGAGAGGACTTGTAGAATGGACTGGAAGCTTTCCTTCGGCAATACGGCGATATTGTTGTGTCGCAGATCGACATTCGTGTTGGGTCCTACACCTGGAATGGGCACGAGATCAGCATACTGTTTCCGCTACCAACTTCCAAACTATACTGAAAAACTGAGCAGAGGTTTGTGATTGACTTGATATGATGAGCCAAGAACGCCTGGATTTAACATAATTGCATCTCAACGACGCATCATGTAGAACTGAAAATGATATTAGAAGAGATATTTGAATCGTTCCATTCATTCTGAAGACGTTGTGAGTTGAGCTAAACATCATCTTCACCTGAATGATACATTCCAGCGTGTGCTGAGGCTAATGCTTCTGATTGCAGAAACGTGGAGTTGCAAGGCGGATCACTCCCATAGTGCGATTCGCGGTATGCATGGAAACAGCGTAGGCGTTACTTGGGTCCATGTTTCTGTTTCTGGAACTGTTATATATCTCGTCCATTTTACATAGATGAAAAGGTACTTAATCTCGTTCATCCTGCTTCGCATATCTCATTGAATTCCTCTGCTTCCATTGAGTGATATATGTTGATTGCCTTATGTAAACTCTAGTGCTTAATTCCGTGAATTCATTTCTACTTCCACTGAGTGAGTATTATTGGTGAAGAAGTTCCCTTTTCTACCAGGAACTCAAAGAGTGACCGGTTTCTCTTCGAACGTTATATTCCAGGAGTTCAATTCTGACTACACTTTAACATAGGATCTCTCATCACTTTCATGTCAGCTTTTTGTTCAAAAATCCCCCCAAAAATAACAGTAGCTATGACAGATTATAATTCCGTGAACAGTTTTGAGCCAATATGGACTATAAAAATGGTTTCATTACAATATTGAACGAAACGAACTGGGAGATTTGGGAAAACGTTCGTCTGTTCTTCATTAATTTCGATTAGATATCAAACATCACTCAGAATGACGAAAACCACAGAACCTTTTGATTTTTCGGACTTTGCGCCCTTAGACTTTCGGAAAGCACTCGTGACATTTCGCGTCCCAAAAGTCGTATTTCTAAAGGCCACGAGGTCAACTAACTTTGGGTTTCCATCGACCGGTGGTCTCCGAGGAAAAAAAAGTTAATTAATAAACTGCAAAATGTTCAAACGTACGAACTCAGCTATTTAAAACCTGGAGTTCTCGGGAAAATGAGGAAAGCGGTTATGTGTAATTTTTTTCGATATCCATGCCCAACCGATTGAAATCTGCGTGGCGTCACTCAAAGACCGACAATAAACGAATTAAAAACATGAATTGTTGGATGAGGTGGAGGAATCGATCGGGGTTTACGTCTCCGAAAGAAGTAAAAAAAATCGTAAAGCCAAAGATATTTTCCTTGTGGAAAATTCCTGTTCCTAAATTCAGGCCAAGAGGTACGACTATTCAGGTACGACGTTTGTTCACGTCCATCGGCCCAAATTATTTAGAAAACGAATAAATATTTCGCCTACGGCAATGAAAGTCCAGGTTAGCATAGCTCATGACGGCAGATGCCGGAGGAAATTCTAATGGAAATGGATTGAATGTACCGAATCTGTGCACTCGAAATAGCGGAAACCAACAACTAAAAATCGATGGCCGTAGGAAATACACGAAATTTGCACGTCCTCTCACCCAGCACCCACCCCGCCCCTGAAATAGAACGCAGGGGCCAAATTTAAATTCCCCGGACGCAGCGGTGCGCACAATGGGGAATCCTGAAGAACGCAGGAAGTGCCTCAGTCTTCCCCACATCTCTGAATTTGGGGCTAGGAAATTTCGATTCTGTCCCGGCAGGCATTTGGGGAAACTCGCATCCTCGATCTAAAGGGGAAAGGGGCTGGACGATGACTGGAGATCCTACCTGTGATGGCTCCAGGCTCCAACTTGACTATTTTATTCCAAGCGAGATTCACCACCTTCAATGACTCGCTGCGGGACTTGATGAACCCGCTCGGAAGGTTCGGTCCCAGGTTGCATTCCGCGCAAGAGAACTCCTCCAGTCTCTCCAATCCATTTACGACATCCGAAGGGAACTCGGAGAAAGGGTTCCCATCTGTATGGAACAAGAGGTGAAGACATCGTGTTTCGACTGAAGCTATGATATAGGATGCGAGAAACACGCTCGATGTTATTCCGCCATTATATCAATTAGGCTAGATAGAAGGCGAGAAATAATATATCAAACATGATATCCAAAGGGAGTACGAGATCATTCCAAAAACATATTTCAGCTTTGGCTGTGATCTTGAACTGCTGAGAACTCTTCCAGCCTTGCTTATGTTATGCACCCACAGCCGGAAAGGTAAGGTCTGATTGCTATCTTGCTAAGATTGCTAAGAGACTGCTTTCGCATTGCATAAAGAACGAGATTTGAAATGATGTGGACAATAGACTTTGTTTCAGAATGATTTCGCTATTCAGAACACGGTGCCTGACTCGCGGTTACCGTTGCGGCCAAAAAACGACCCTTTAGTCGTTTCAGAGAAGCAGATGACTTTTACAAGAACCGTGAGCCTATGCATAGAAATGGGAAAATTTGTATGTTGTACGAGATGGTGAATACTCACCTAATATGAGTTTCCTCAATTTAGGAGTTGCCCATCCGTCTTCCTCAAGCCTCAAAATTGTATTCCTCATGAGAAAGAGTTCCTCGAGGCTTCCGCTCTGAAGGGGCGGGACGGAAGCGAAGCGATTGAGCGGGAGGATGAGAACCTTTAAGCTGGTCAGCCGGGGGAGGACGTCAAAGGGAAAACTCTCTATGTGACTGGAGAAGATTTCCAGCATGGATAGCGTCTCTGCGGAAGAGAGGAGGGCCGACGGATGGATCGTCTTCAAGGCGCTATTGCGGATGTTGATCCTCTCGAAGGAGACGCTTTCGAATGCTCCTTCTGGGAGCTCCTCCAGGTTGGTGTTCTGGTCCATCTTGAATTTCCTGCGAAGGTAAAGAATAGATATCATTCATTTTTTCCAGATGCTCTGACGTATAAATTTGTGTTCGACCTCGTGATGCGTGCATGATTTATGAATGACGGTCGAACTTGATCATGAAGACCTCCGTTAGGGCAAGTCCTGTGCTATAGCGAGGAAGAATGCCTGCTCCCGGCCCAAAGCCCATGAGGTGCATGCATTCATATCTCATTCATAGCGACTTCAATTATTACCAGAACCACGGTATTAACGGTAATAAACGAATAATATGAGTCCACGTCGACGAGGAGGACGAAGACGAAAGAAAGGATGTTAAAGAACTCAGGAAAGGATGATAAAAATCCCATGTCGACATCATTAATACTCTTCCACGCCATTCTCACATAACCCAAAAAAAAAATTTAAATTAGCCCACGTGCGCGGTCGGCACTTGTTGCACCTTAGCAAGCCCCGAAGTATTCTTGCTTAGAAGCGCAAACTTGGTTGCGCTCTAACACTACTTCCTCGTCTTGTCACGAATTTGATGCCTGGCCATCTCCCATCCGTATACATATGCATATTACGTGAGAGGATAATCTGTCCGGGTCAGGGAGTCATTCCGACGAAACTCCTCCAAGACGGATGAATTGATTTTCATGAGCTAGATGTCAATCGAAAGCACATGACCGGATGCGATACTTCTTGGATCAAAAGTCGAAAAATCGTCCAATTTTCATGTAATAAGGCCAAATTTCGGCAACTAGAATAGCATCATATTGAACGCCTTCTCGGGCTGTCCGCTCACACATCATGACCTGCACTCGACACTAAACTCGATTGCCGAACGGACTGGTCCAAGCCTGATTTGTCCCCTGAGCTTGAGAACTCGTGGTCTCAAATGACGCGTTTTCGCTCGCACCCGACCGGATACCCGATCGTCGACCTCACTACACTCGCAATGCACGGGTCAGACCTCGGTCCTACCGAGTCGATCCACATCCCAGCAGGGCTCAAAATCTTCCCCCATTCTACCCGGGGCAGTCTTAAATGAGATCGACAGGTCTCACTTTAAGATTACGAAGCGGAACTCGCTGAACAATTGCATCTGTGCGATTGGAGTTTCTATAAAAGATGGAAGGAAGGTTACGCATCCACTTATAATTGATTGAAAGCATGTTTCCATGAACATTTGAAGTTGTGTCGCTTTAGGATGCTACGAGACGGAACTCACTGGATATTGCAACAATGGGGGAAATTGGGAGCGTAGCTCTGCGCGTGCTTTATTACCATCTGAGGCACGCTTATGGGATCGACAAAGATCCTACGATCCCAGGGGTTCCTGCAGAAGTGGAGTCAATGGTAGAGCGTCTAAATGTTGAGATCTATTGGAATTATGCTCACTCCACGACCAGACAACTCACTGCTACGAAGCCGTACATTACTCTATTTGGTGTGGTTGGCAAGGAGATCTTTGAGATCGAATTCTCCAGCCCATCAGAGAGGAATATCTCCCGCAAGGAGGAGGAAAAGAGATTGAAAAACTCATTTTATTGTTCGAGCTTTGAGGTCAACATCCCAGCTGTGGGATGTCTTGGCAGCATGAAGAACACGCTAATAACACAGCTTTGAGAAGATACCAGTCTGTAGTTCTAAAGCTTACTCTTTGGCCTGCTGCATGCAAAAGGCCTCCTTGGGCTCCATGCAACTCCCCCGCATCCACGGACTAAGTTCCTCAGCTGAGCCACCTATCGCCACCTAGTGGGACGTGGCCAGTTCCATCCCGTGAGCCCGTTACCTTCATATGAAGGGCCACACTAGAGCCCCGCGGGGAGGGTGTGGTCAGGATGAAAGAGGGTAACCGGTACATAACACATATTACACCATGTGTTGAACAATAATAATAATAACAAAAATTGATTATAAAAAAATTACATTAATTTTTGACGGAATCTTCTTTCCTCACGGCTCTGTTCTCTTTCGCTCAAATCGACATCAGGATGACCAACTTCCCACCGTTCATGGAAGCACTCACTCTTCTTCAATTACGCCATAATATATATTTTTCTAGTTTCTGTTTGGAACTTTTTCCACCAGAAGTTACTGATCCCATCGGGCCCTGGGGCGGAGAAGTTTATTTCTCCTTTCAGGGGGGCTGGCACACATTCAGGTGTAATCGGGGGCAAGATGGATCGGCAGCTTATTTTAGATGGATGACACAGAAGCTTTTGAACCGTTCTATCCATGATGCATCTGCATTAAATGGTTCCACCTTTTCATACAAGTCTTGCCAGCAGGACAGGACATCTGCCCCTGGTGGAAGTGGGTCATTGCGTGAGTGCCTTTCATCTCTTAAGAAGGTGGGATACAACAGAAAGGTGGGATTTTCTTGCACACGCTGAATCCTTAGCAGCAGTCGCTTCCTCGCTAGGGATAGAGTGCGAAGCCTGTCTATATAGTGATGTTTAACGTTTGTCAGTTTGGACAGGCTTAAAGAGTGATGCTCACGTCTTAACATGGCTGTGAAAGCTACTATAACTGAAGATCTCGGTTTGACGCCCCTACAGGTATTATTCATCAGTTTCTGCACCCTTGACAATTTCTGGCGGGTAGCTTTAATTTTCGTGTCCAGTTGCTTGACACGATTCAAGTGCTTATTACCTTCTGCCCGCCATGGCTCTCGGGAAGGGATCAGCACCTGTGCAGCTGCATAAACTGCACAGTTAATATCCCAGAGGTCACCTCACGCATGCAAGTATGAGGACAAAACGGAGTCCATCTCCACGAGATGGTGCTGTGGTATGTGCACTTTCCAATGAATTGATGTTTTTCTGTCGTCTAGGGTTAACTGTTTCACAGCATATAGAGCAGCAAGAAATTGTTCCTGGAATACAGAGGATGTTACTTCAGCTGCAGGTGCCATCGATGGAATGGCTTCATCAGGTGGAGCTGAATTGGTAGTAGCGACCGTAACTGATTCGGCATCTGGTTTTCTTGAAACGGCTTTGTCTTCCTTACTCTGGGACCGAAGGAGGTACCTGGCTTGGTCTCGAAGATGTTGTTTCGAGATATGTCTAATTGTTGGATGTCTTGCGCTCCAACTCGAGTGGAGTCTGGCCATATAACCCCTACGATCGGGCTCTGAGGAGTGATAAAGATCCAATAAGTCACGCCTAAGTGCTGCAGTCCACCGCATCCGTCCGTACTGAGTGCTTTGGCCATTCCCATCTAAGGGCGCTTCAAAAGAAGCATCATGCCCATTGTGGATCGCCCTGGCATCTTGATGTTCTGACGCTATTGAAGAAATCGGCATGGATTGTCAATCCATTACCGGTGCTCCAGTGGGACGCTTAACAACAGCTGCGCTGGGAGCACCACAGTTGCCGCGGTCCTTTTTATCCTGGGCGCCGACCGAGCCAGTATGAATATTGATCTTTTTCCTTTTAAAAGCCTTTTTCATTAGACTTTGGATACAGTTTAACGTCATGTCCAGGATGTTTATTATTATTATTATTATTATGTATTTCATTTATTCATTTATTTATTTTGAAACATTTCTTTGATGTGCGGGGGCGAAAGGTTCCTTCATATAACGGTAAGAAAACAAAGATATTGAAACAGGTGAACCAACGTATGTGCAAATTCGATTTCCTTGCGTATGGCTAAAAGCAGTGAGAAACTTAGATGAAAGATCTGGCTCACCAGAATTCAGTCGTTGGCCAGGAAAATTCGTTGAAGGCCGACCAAAGATCCTCACTAGTCGTGGCGTTCGAGCAATCCACTGTCACTGTGCCAACGCGAGACTTAGAGCAGGTACAGGGCACATGCTCCGAGTCCCCCAGCTCCGTCCAGTTCGGACAGTCTTGGTGCCCGGCCACCCAGGGGAAAGCGGAAAGGATGGGAATCCAGAGGATGACGAAGGATCCGGTCATCCTCGTGGACGAAGGTTGGATGGGGTTGGCAAGGATTAGGGCTTTCTCGGTTCCTCACGGGATCTGCATAGGCCCCTGAATGTAGGGTCCCATTCTGCGAAAGGGGGCAAAAATCATGTTAGGAGAGACTCATATTTTCTGCAGCGATTGATTTAAAAAAAAATTGCTTTCATCGGAGGCTGAACCCCAAAAGACCCACACAATATCGTTTTGCATGCATACGGAATGGCATTTAAAAGAGTTAGTGCTCTATTTGGACCTTCCCTCAATCTCACAAGTACGTGGAAACAATTTAGATGAGACTCTCTCCATTGGTAGGTCTCTTCCAGCTCTAAGAAGGTATTTCGCTGTGGGGAAGAATACACTATAAAATGGACCAAGTATGAACTTATATCATTGGAGCTTCAACCTTAAACCCTTTAAGATTGACGGGACGAAAGGGTTGTTATGAAACGAAGGTTCCAGATATATCATAGTTTATACGAAAAGAAAAATTCCAGTGTCGCAAATCGCAAATAGTTACTATGTATCGGACAATTACAGGTGATGAAAAAGCTTCCTCCTTTTTGAGTCATGAATGCGCATGTGCTTCGAGATCAGGGGTTTCAAACATTATTTCGTATTCGTTTCGTAGTAAAATAAAAATAGATTTGACTTGACAGTGAAATCGTCCTTTCCTATGAGGATTTAACATTTTACCTGAAAATGACAAGATTTTTAAATGGTCACTATACAAGAGATTCTTTTCAAATGAGGACGAGAATAATCCTTTATTCCCAAAGGATTACTTAGGAGTAAATCCGGACTATGCATAGCACTCTAATAACTCAATGAACAGGTTTCATTTCGGTTTCGAAGGTTCCATTTTAGGAATTGGAAGAGAGTGACATTGACAATTTAAATATCTTTATCGTATTTGTGTGAATATGCATATGATGAAGATGAAGGAATGCAAGAAAAAATGACCGAGCTTAGGAATGAATTTGGCTGACATGACGGAAAACGCATGCCAATTTCCATTTTGTGTTATTCTGCGCTCAGCCAGAGGCCATACCTTTCATCCATTTGTTCCGTGACCCTCTCCACAATTGTCCATATCCCCCATTTCTTGCATTTGAGGAAAGCACGTCAATTAATCGGCAACTCTGGCTTTGCGTCACTAAATTTTACAGAAATAATGTTGACGTTTGTGGCAGCATTGACATCCGTGTTACACATTCCTATCAGGGTCATTGTTCAACGTCCCAAACCGGGCTTCTCGCCCAATTCTCCAAATCCCAGGCGGTGTTTCTCGGCCAATCGTCCGAATTCCCAAGGCTTGTCCCCACGGGTATCTGTCCAAAATCCCTAGTCGCGTTTCCGACCAAGTTTTCACCGACCAGTGTACAGAAATTAATAGCCGTTTTCTGAAGTCTGTCCCTCACAGCCCCCATTCTTCTCACGTTTATGCAAAATCAACCCCAACTCTCCGGAGCATCTTCACACATATATATATATATATAGATAGATCGATGTTTCAAAGCCAATAAAATTGGCACACTTGCGGAAGAGACTGGAAGGGCAATGCGTTTAAATTGCCCCCTTCCAAGCCAAACATAATAAGATGGACAATCACTGATAGAAGGGCTAGCCCTTNAAGATGGACAATCACTGATAGAAGGGCTAGCCCTTGAACAGCCATGGCTCAGCACCCACGCGAGTACCTCGACAGGAAAATCGAGACTAATGTGAAAAGCCAATTCACCAATAAAATATATATATATATATATATTTTATTGTTCCAGACCTGGCTGCAAATGAACACAACTGATTCAGAAACAGGGAGGGAAGGTAGTGCTTTGAAACACGTCCGTCAACTTGGAATCCATGGAGCATCTGACTCCCTCCAGTCTTCATGGGATTCCTCGCTTCGGTCTCTAACTTAGTCCATTTCACCAATGTACTCGGGGCAACACCGAAAGCGCCAGACTTGCCTCTCCACGCTTCATCATAGTCCTTTCATTTCATGAAGGGGAATACATCATCTCCATACCATGCTGACCTTTCAAAATGAAAGCGAGAGAAAAACAACATCTTGAGTGACCAGATTCACTAAGAGATGCGGGATATGGAACTATCCTTCCCAGGAACATATTATCCCTAGCGTTCATTATTTCATTGAAATACTTTTGCTTCGTATGGCGGTAATTCGTTTCGAGAAACTGGCGGGGAATGGGGTTTCGGTGACTTTTGCATACCACAAAGAAATCATAGTATATGATAGGAATCGTTAATTCCACGATGTAAATCATCCCGTACAGACAACCCCAAAGTTGGCTGTCACTCGTCGATGGAGATTGTGCCTCAATATTATATAACGCCAGGTGAAACAGGGAAAAATTAAAAATTTAAAAATTCACGGAAAATGCAACAGTGTCTGAATTCTTATAAGCCATTTGATTGTGAGTACTGAAAAATATGACCCGTTGATGTGTCCGCACATATCTGCCGATACGTCCCATAAATCATTCGGGAACGAAGCATATAACTCAACTTGCATAGATTTCCCTGAATATGCTTCACTCTCGCTGGAAGTAGGAGAGGAGGGAAACGATCTCATGACCCAGTGGAAAAACACGTAGTTATGAATAATTCAAAGATCAACCCATTTTGTTATTATCAAACGTGTTTCTTCCGCGTTGGAAAAATTTGGTATTAAAAAAAAATTGGAACGAGGAACAGTCGAGTTGCGATTTCTGAAACCCTTACCCATGAATCGATAATCTTTCGAATTATGAAAGACAGAAGAAAAACTAGAAGTTTGGCAAGCAAACCTACGCTGACGTCAGTAGCGTCAGGGGTCATCCTTCGAATCAACGAAAATGAGGTGGAGCCTGCCCCCGGCCCTACTTCTTGGTGCGAAGAAACGCACAAAGAAGACTCACCTGTCAGCCCCAGTCGGTTTCTTTCCCTCTAGTGAGGAGGTGATTAGGTCTGATCCTACAATGGAGAAGAGGGAACCTTTCCTGCCCGGTCCCATTGAGTGGTACGCTCCTCTCCTTCGTCGCCACGTCTTGTTCCATTAATTGTCTCATGTGAGTTCATTCCATATTCCCCTGCCCTTCTCCCCATCACTGTGATCAGGCGAGTTTATGAGGAATGTTTTGATATCGTCTTTGAAAACAGCCTCTAGATAGGCAAGATAATTCCGCAAAAATGCATATAATTTCTTGAAGCTTCACTGAAAATTAGAGGAAAGAGGGAGAGGCCGTGGGGGGGAGTTCGAGGAATACGGGATCTTGGCTCTTTCCCTGAAACACCTATTATGTCTTGTTTACTTAGCTTGACGTAATTTCCTCCATCATTCTTGAACGGAGGAATGGAGGAAGTGACACCTGCATGCCATGCGAGCTTGGGAGTAAAATAAAAGGCTTATAGAAGGACGAGCACAACGGAGGAACAACCGATATGAATTCACAGCGAAGTCATTAAACCTAGCGGAAGGTCCCGACTTCGACAGGGCCACGAATAGGTAAGCTTGAGCAGTTGTATGTAATTATTCCTCTTTTAAGAGTCAATAATGAAGTTCATCTCTTAGTAAATCTGGTGATTCACGATGTTGTTTTTCTCTCGCTTTCATTTTGAAAGGTCAGCATGGTATGGAGATGATGTATTCCCCTTCATGATATGAAAGGACTCTGATGAAACGTGGAGAGACAAGTCAGGCGCTTTCGGTGTTGCCCGGAGTACGTTGGTGAAAAGGACTAAGTTAAAGACCGAAGCGAGGAAGCCCATGAAGACTGAAGGGAGTCAGATGCTCCATGGATTCAAAGTTAACGGACGTGTTTCAAAGCACTACCTTCCCCTCCCTGTTTCTGAATCAGTTGTGTTCATTTGCAGCCAGGGCTTGAACAATTAAAAAAATATATACAGGGTGGCCCAAAAGTAGGTATACAGTATAGTTTATTTGCATTTTATTACATTGTTTATTACATTTACATTTGTTTAACAGTTTAATCTCGTAAGTGCTCGAAATGTCTTCCATCAACGTTGCAACATTCCTCGAACATGTCCAGAACACTGTGACACACAGTGACACACATAAAAATAAAATAATTATAATAAAAAAACTAAACAACTGTATACCTACTTTTGGGCCACCCTGTATATACGTGAAGATGCTCCAGAGAGTTGGGGTTGATTTTCCATAAACGTGAGAAGAATGGGGGCTGTGAGGGACAGACTTCGGAAAACGGCTATTAATTTTTGCACACTGGTCGGTGAAAATTTGGTCGGAAACGCGACTAGGGATTTTGGAGAGATACCCACGGGGACAAGCCCTGGGAATTCGGACAATTGGCCTAGAAACACTGCCTGGGATTTGGAGAATTGGGCGAGAAGCCCGGTTTGGGACGTTGGACAATGACCCTGATAGGAATGCGTAACACGGATGTCAATGCCGCCACAAACGTCAACATTATTTCTGTAAAATTTAGTGACGCAAAGCCAGAGTTGCCGATTAATTGACGTGCTTTCCTCAAATGCAAGAAATGGGGGATATGGACAATTGTGGAGAGGGTCACGGAACAAATGATAATGAAACAAAACATTTTCCCTCATTCCGACGGATATGGACAATGACAGATGAAAGGTATGGCCTCTGGCTGAGCGCAGAATACCACAAAATTGAAACTGGCATGCGTTTTCCGTTATGTCTGCCAAATTCATTCCTAAGCTCGGTCATTTTTTCTTGCATTCCTTCACCAATGCATATTCACCCAAATGCGGTAAAAGTAATTGAATTGTCAATGTCACTCTCTTCCAATTCCTATAATGGAATTTTCAAAACCGAAATGAAACCTGTTAATGATTTCGCGATGCACCATATCTGATGACCTTTTTGACGCATAGCGCTGTGCATTATGAAGAATTTAACTCCCGGGGAAAGCCAGAAAACGACTCAGCACTTGTCGGAGAACGCAGGGAATAACACGGAAAAAGTCTGTCGATGGGAAACCATGCACTCATGGGGCAAGAAAAGCGTTGCGACGTGACGAGAGAGCCGTCTTTCATCTGGACCGGTTAAAGCCGTAGAGCCCAGAGAGTGTCGCAATCCCGCTTTGGTCTTTTTTTATCGCTGGAGGGAAGGTTTTCTAGCACTTGTGTTGGGTGGGTGAAGCATCCGTGACCATGAAACTTCAATGGATACTTGCCAGGAACGTGAGGGGAAGGGAAAATACGTGACAAAAATGCCGATGAGGTCCGAATGGACGCCTCGTTCTCCTTTCCTCGGATATTGCCTCCTGTCTGACGTAGCCTTTGATGGAATCCAAGCGAATCCAAGCCTTCCCTTCTCTCGTTTCTCGCGACTGCCGCGACGAACGGATGATGGTCGTGCCGAGGCTTTCCCTCCTGATCTATGGAACAGAAAAAGTCGGCTTCTTTGCGGATCCGAGCGGAAAGGCGTCATCGGCCCGAGGGATTTCCCAAGAAAAGTTTCATCGATGCGACGATTCCTTTCGATGCCGGCCTTTCTAATCGTGTCGACTGCGAGCACAGAGCGGAGAGGCACACAGCACGTGTCGTCATGTGTCATACGTGTTTCGGAAGTCTTGTCAAGATTAAAAACGCTTTTCGAGGTGTGTCTCTCGCAGGCGACGGCATTATTTTCGTAAGATGTTTGTGACCTGCCAACCTGATATCGCGACGTCCGGTTCTGAATTGCAGAGAGACGTAAACTACGCCTGACATCATCATATCCTTGACGACGAGATATGATGCAGAGTCTTGCTACGTCACGAATGAGAGAAAATTTCCATACCGGAATGAGCTTTGTCCGTTTTCTTTTCAGATTGGCTCGTACAACTTTGGCAGGGATACTTCACTCTGCAGCCGACGGCCGACTCATTAAAACAGAAAAGACTGAATAAGAGAATGATTCTTACTCTTGAACCCCGCGAAATCTTCCTCGCGACGAAGGAAAAGAACCTCCTCTCTAAGGTCGATGGAGAACTAACACGATATCAGCTTCCATCTCGCGAGTGACTGCACGCGAAGGAGGGAGGATCGTGGAGGACGACCTCCTCGACGTGGCTTCCTCTCACCTAGACCGTGCGTATTGGGAAAGAAGGCCTCACTCCTTGCGTGGAGTCGGCCTGCGTCGTGCAGAGGTTCCACCTCTCGTTCTTCGTAGGAGCTCTTAGCGG